CCGTCTGCGACCGTATAGACAAGACATTCCCTAGTTGGTCACCAGTGCAGATGAGTCATGAGTCCACCACGATAACAACACGCGGCACGCCTGGTGGCTACCTCGCAGCCTGGACGCACCATCTCAACCAAAACCCGAGCTCTTTCATCAGAGGATATTACCCCGGTTCGTTGGATTCGCTGGGTATCCCGTTTTGAGAACCATTTCACTTTATGCAGACAAGCATTGCGAAGGTAACCATGGAATAGCTCCCGAAGTTGGCCGCAGCAGTGCGGGAGAACGGTTCGAAACGTCTCAAAATCTCCTTTCTCCGAAGGACCGCCCGAAATCACATTGCAAAGATAACTCGCCACGTTTCGAGGGAAACTGGCTGGACACCACATCTATCGTATAGCACTGATATAGCTCCATCGTACTATCACCTCCACAGCTTCCTGAAGCAACAAGTAGGAGAGGAAAAAGTCAGTAAATACAGCAACCCCAAAAACGACACTCGTTCTGATCGGAATGCATCCATTCGTTCCCTGGCAATTGGATGCATATCAGTGATTATGATGGTGGATTTTATTTTTGATCAGCTGTTTTAGAAAAGATAAAACTTGGTAAGATCAAAGTGTTGAAATTCGGCCAGAAATCTTGGAAAAACCTAGTACATAGGTGATTGACCATTCGCAACTAGTTAGCTCAAAATACTAGCACTTGTCCTGGTTGGCACCAGCATAAAAACGCTCAATTAGAAAAAGAGCTGTGTTCTACTTTTGCGATTGCCCTGCCGCTTTAGTGGACTAACCACCGGAGAGTATACAGGCAGATCAGGAGAATTCGACGTGAGTAATTGCAAAGTCAACTTTACATGAAGTCACGACTCCAGCGAAGCTTAGGCATCACTTTTACAAGTCGCTGTTCCCAAAGAACATGATCTTCACTCACTACCTGCCTCGTAAGTACCTATCACTGGAGTCGATCTATTTTTTCTGATAAATAGATGCACAGAGTGAACAAAGAATGAACGACATCGGTCATAGTGATATGTAAGGGACATAGATTAAATGGTATGGACTATTTCAGTCTTGCCGTGAGTGAAATGGCAAGTGACGCCGTCCACCACGCGGACGGCTTGTGAGGCAATCCTGAATCAAATCCCAGGGGCACCCAAGTCCCTCACCTCTCAGGGATTGATTAACTGATTGATTGGTACACGACCCGTCTGATGAGATAAAACACTTGCCCATCGCTTTTTTCAAAGATAACCTGCATTAGCGCGAACGAACTGAGTATATCCCTACATTCCTACCCCTATTCCTATAAAGCGCTAAATCTGGCCATGTGTCACGGTGTCTGTTAATCACAAAATTCGGTAGTACATGAGGAACCAACTGCAGAATTCGGGTCAAGCTTGGGATGGGTGGGTCAAGAAGTACTAGATATTTACCAGCTGCGCGAGCTGCTCCCACATTGGCCGGGCGGTGCCTACGACATTCCACTTCGGTTTCAGAACAGCCCGAAGACCGGGAAAAGGATAAGGGGTGCACTGAGTTGCTAAGTCGGATAAGGGAGACCCCCAAGGGGTAGGTAGGCGGAGCATCCTATAATGCGCAATTCTCAATAAAAAACTACAACTACTCATAGGTCTGTTAGGAGAAAACCTATTGAGCAGAAGGAAGAATTGGTTCAGGACACCTTACAAGTACACGGTGCATATCCTTAGTGGATAGTGTTTATTACAAATCCTCATAAGCCATTTCTGAGAAGGCCTAGACCGGGAAAGAGCGGGTTGAGGTTGAAGGAGGGAAAGCCCAGTGGTGATAGTTGGCGTGCGGTGCGCTAACGTGGACGGAGTTAACATCAAAATTCGCTTCCGCAAAGTCCTGGAGACCGGGAAAAAGTGGGTCGAGCCTGACAACAGAAGGGAGGGCATCAGGTACTATTTTATTGGTGGGTCGTGTGCTGAAGCAGGCGGACTTTGCCACGAAACGTTGTAGTTGCGATCAAAGAGGGTCCAGAGGCCAAGATTGGATAGATACATGGTGGTTAAGAAGGGAAGAAAGGCCAAATGCTATGGGTGGATGGCACCGGGGCTAGCGGAGTTTGCTACGAAGGACTAAAAAACGGTTGCTCTGTTTAAAGCGAGAGATTACGATAAAGTGCGTATGCAGCGTGGAAGTACATGCACCATTGGAAGCAGTAGTCAGGGGCCCAAGGAAACGAAATGTTGCGTTTTTGTGGTCAAAGGTGCGCTAGTTGCAGCGTACAAGGCTTGCCATTCCTTTCTGAGCCCCGCCACGGTCTGTGCTCCGCCCCCAGCAGCAGCGCCCTTCGATTGCCAATGTGACGAGATATTCCACTTCCAGAGTGTATCCTATAACTTTTCATGGGATGCGTGATCAATCAAAGCATGATGCTTGCTGAAATGATAGAGGCTATCAGCATAACATGTGCAAACGACCTCCTAATTGGTTGCTAGCTCGTCCATTATCGGAGGTCAACGGGCAAAGAAAGGGGTCCCATTTTGCGCCTTCTTGACGGATTTCTTTGCTTTTTTCGCCACTGGGGCATTATTCAGCATCTCCACTTCCACTATGAACCCAGTCCAAACTTATCGTAATCCCTCGCTTTAATTGAATTGTAGTACCGTGTGATGCACGCGAATGCGTGCAACCAAACCGGTGAAGAATGAAAGACGAAAAGAAATAGTACGGGTATGAACTATTCTGGGAATTACTGTTCTTTTCTATCTTTTTGATTTTCGTCATTGTCAGTCACCAGAAAAGATCAATAAAATATAGTAATAGGACATATTACGTAACTCGTCAACATGAAAATTTTACTTACTACTCCTGTCCAATAATGCCCTGAGCAGCTGCTGTATAGTTGCGACTTCAACGTTATGAATGGTGGCAGATATATTCATCCTTCTTCCATTCCAGTCGCGTTCTAGCTCTCCACCAGCAGCACATATCACAGAAGAAATTGAAGATATGAGGGCGGCTAGACGAACAGAGGCCGAAAGTAAGTCTAAAAGATGAAATTTGTCGAATAGAGGTCTTAGTCAAGGCAAATCTCATCGCTAAATACCGCTCGCGGTATAAACCAAAGCACAATAAACACGGAACAAAAGATAAAATTTTCCTGCTAAACTCACCCTCCGCAGAAGGTGTTGAATTTCCGTTCAACTGGTTTTCAATAACGTGGGCTCGAAAATGCGAACGATGAGACTCCAGAGGACTCATATTGACGTTGATCATGTTAGCAAGATCACCAAGGGTAGCGAAGTTAAGCAAGAGAGCTTCAAGGTGGGCTAAGACACCGGCGCCTAAATTAGCGATTCAGAAGCAAAATAAAGCTGAATGTAACTACAATTCAAAAAATAAAGTGAACCCCTCATTCGTCAATCAAGTAACCGTATTATAGGAAAGTTTTTAGTGCTCATAAATACCGTTTCCTGGCCGCAGCAGTGATGCAGGGGCTCGAGAAGCGTCTAAAATCGTTGTCACTCGGGTATCCAACCCAATAGTCATTGTGCTCGCCATCTGAAATTCCATGTAAATTCATTTATTACTTTTTTGTATGCGTAATTTGAATAGAAATAACGAAATTTCCGACAAACTATCCATGAATTGCGATTCAAATAGTCCTCATTGGCTCAGGTTTAGAGAAGAAGTCATAACGTTATCTCTTATCTATCAACTCCATACACGTCACAAAGAAATTTTGGCGAGAAGTACTTGAGATGTCAGGATCATCGAAGTCTCCCCATATTATTATATATTGCAAACATATATATTAATATTAGAATAAAAACTCAAAATTCAGTGTAGCTCAGTTTTTGTTGATTTTCGGATAGACATTGCACTCTATCGACCGTTAACACAACAAATATCAAGAAGCGCCTCAAAATTACGAGTGAAGGAGACATCTCCAATCGCTTCATTATCGAAGTCTGCGCAGCTGTTACTTTCAGGTAACTCCTCGAAAAGTGGTGAATGTAAGTGAACTAATACAGTTAAGTCGCTGAGTGATATGAATCTGCTTGACTGCACTCAAATCTTTCTTGTTCTCCCACCTATCATAAGTGGTAGTACCGTGGGATTTATTGCATTTATGATTTCGAACGCTACTTGCAAAACCAATGCAGTCCGATTTAAGAAGCAGACTTCCTCTATTGCCTTGGTGCCATTCCATTGAGAGACGAAAAGTGCAACATACAGAAGAACTGGAAGAACATTGAGAAGCGGAATAGTTTACATCCCATTAATCCCGTCGATATGAGATGCGAACAAGCTCGAGGTGAACCCGAGTAAGACAACTAATTCTTATTTACGAAACAAATACAAGGACTTTAGTATGTAAGCCAATTTTCAGCCGGTATTCCATCTTTTCGAATAGATATAACGGATGGAAGCGGTTTCTTTGCTTGAGCCATACATATGACTGAAAGAGGCGCCTTCTTTCCATTGAAACCCCTGAGAAACTAGGCTCAATGAGAAGACGGCTCGTGTGCTCTAGAAAACATCGCACAGGAGCGAAATAAAACAATAAGAGCTACAAATAAAAAGGTACAAATCGCCGGAGATCGAAAGAAGACTACGTCCGAATTTTTGAAAAATAAAAAAGAAAGCAGCGAAAATACAAAGGAGACATCCCAAAAGAAGGTAACAAAAGTACCTCAAAAAAGCCGGGACACTTTCAGAAAAATCCTTTTCAAGGCCTGACCGCATGGCGTAATAACTAATGCAATTAAGAACTATAAAAAACACCAAATTATAAAGTAACAATGTAAAAACGAACCTCTGTCAGGATGTTACGACCTTCTTCGTCGCGGGGAATGAAATCATACTGCTGATTGCTTGATACATCTAAATAAGTTGATTACAACCATTTCAACGTAGGGCATGAAAGGCGAACTCATGTTCCTGATTGCTTACCGTTCGGAACACTGAATGCAGCGCTTGCGGATGGATCATTTCCTGCCGCAGCCTCTGTCTGAGCATCATGATGCTCCTCAACTTCTGCATGCACTAATATTGGAGCAGAAACAGTCGCTTGCACGATTTCTCCACCTCCGGGTAACTGAACAGAAGCGTCATAGGCTAAGCCATCATAAAAGTGCGGGCACAGTATTGCATTAAATGAATGCCCTCCACTGTTAAATATAAGACGCGCAACTCAAATTTTCAGAGGAAATGATACCAGACAAAACACAAGGAAAGCAACAGAACAATAACAACTAGATGACGAACGAGGAATTACATTTGCAGCAACACACTGATGAAACTGATCCAAACGTTGCACACCTTTTTCACGAGATGATTTAATGACGTCTCGTGTTGGGATAAAGAGAAGGACAAATCGTAGAAACATTTCAAATCTACAGCGATCAAAATGATCAGGTAGGCACTGAGTGGAACACAGGCAGACTTCGCCATTCTAACCCAGCCACGCCAGCGTAATGGACTTATCAAAAAAGGTCATCAAGTGGTCCGGCTACCTGCAAGGAGGTGTACACTCATGCGACTAAAAACAATGAGTGAAAAACCGCTTCCCTTCGTGAAATATTCGCTAAACCATGTCCCAAATGAAGCTACGGCAATTTCACCTTCAACACTATCACTCTGTAATTGAATGCTGTGTTTAAGAGGATTCCT